TGTGTGTGTGTGTGTGTGTGTGTGTGTGTGTGTGTGTGTGTGTGTGTGGGGAGATGTGATGCTACTGGAAGGGATACCAGTAAATACTAGTGATCAGATCACAAGCTACTGAGATACTATACTCCCGTCACTTTATCCTCTGCGTATGTATTATATTTTATTTTTATTTTCTATACTCTATTATTTTATGCTTTGATATAGTTTGTTTGAAGTTATTTAAACAATTTTTTTTTTTAAATTTAACTGTCACTTTGCAATTTTATTTTTTTTTAATAAAAAAAATTAATTTAGAAGATTTTTGATAATTTTAAGAATTTTTTTAAAGAAATTATGGCAAAAAAATTGACGTAATAATTAAAAAAAATAAAAAATCCAATTTTTTTAAATAATACTAAAGTTAACCGACGATTTTAATTTTTTGATTTTTTTTTAATAATTAAATTAGAATAAAAAAATATTTTTTTTAAATTGCACTGACAATTTTTGAAGTTTTTTACAAGTGAAATTTTTTTTCTTCTTTTTTTGTAATCATTTCTTCAATAAAAAAGAATTCTAAAAATTTTTAAATGTCTTTGCAATTTTTTAATTTTTTTAACAAAAAATTTGTATGAAAATTAATAAAAATTAATTTAGCAGATATTTTATCATTTTCAAAATATTTTAAACAAATAAATTATGGCAAAAAAAATTGACATTTAGAAATTTAAAAGAAATTGTAAATGTAATTTTTTAATTATTTTTATTGATTAAAAAAATTACTTTAATAATTATTTTATTAATTTATAACTTACAATGAGTATATATTATTAAAATATATATAAAAAAGAAAGAATTGACAATTAAATATTTTGATACATAATTATTTTGAACTTTAACAGTATCGGTGATTAAATTCGTAAATATTTATAATAAAAATGTGCTATTAAAGTTAGTGCCGCTGATAAATATTTAAAAAATAGCAATTGTATTTATAAATTAAGCCGACTGAAAAAAGTCCTCCTAAATTCCAGCAAAGTCGTTGTTCTGAGGTACTGGGTAGGAAATATCTTCGTACTGTTGTCTTCCAAACTCTAAAAAAATATAAATTTAATTTTTATAAATAATTAATCGGGCTTAGTCATAATAACGAACCTCCAGCTCCAGAAGGAAATAATGTAGCAAGAGTTCCGCCTCTTTGCTGGCCGATTTTCACCAGATACTTGGTCGAAAAGAGCCGGAAGATCAGATTAGCGATCATCAGAATCCCGCTGAATCTCTGGGACGCATCTACAAGATGACGATCAGACAGAAACTTCTGTAGGTCAGATGATTAAGTAACTATTGTCCTCTCATGCATTTTATCAAGTATTTTGTTTTTATTTACTCACTGTCGCCGTTGAAGTAAATCGCCAGCATTATCACGTCAAATAATATTGCCAGGACATTTATAATCAGCGCCTTAAATTTTTTATTTATTAATATTTAATTAAGAATTAACCTTGTATCTTGTAAAATATTGACATTTTTTAAGATATAAGCTCATACCGATGGTGCACTCATCAAGACCTTTCATTTTAGTATCCACATCAATTTTTCATATATTTATATATATTATATATATGTATATATGAAAAATATATAAAAAATGCATGTGGGTACTCAAATGAAAGCTCTTGATGAGTGTAACATCGGGATGAGCTTATATCTTTAAAAACGTCAGTAGTTAAAAAAGTAGAGTGCAATTTAACAAAATTCATTATTTAATAAAGCAAAATTTTATTTATTTATAGTTCACAAGTCACGGCAGTCACACAGTGACTGCAAGGTTGCTTATTTTTCTTGAATAATAAACTAAGTAGAAAAATTGAATTTATATTTTTTCAAAGCTTCTGAAGATGAAATTTTTTAAATAAAATTTTCTTGTAATAATTTATTAGTTGAAAAATTTATCATATAAATACTTAATGATACTGAAATTAGCAGATATCTGACATCTGTTAAATTTTTTATTACCAATAAATTATTGAAAAAAAAATGTTTTAAATAATTTTCACTTATAATTTTTTAGAAATTTCTACACATGGAATTGTTTTCGTATAATTTAATTGCTGTAAAACTCAAAAAAATTGACAGATGTTTATTAAATAAAGTTTTATAAATGATTATTATTATTTTTATTACATTTAATAATAAAAAGAACTTACTTTTTCAACTTTAACTCCATGCTCATACAAAAGTGAGCACATGAAATATGAATTAGTGTCCTTCACTTGCGCTTTTAATATTTCATCTCCAATTACTGAAAATGTCAGTTTAGATAATCAGTCATTAAAATTAATAATTAAACACTAATTAATGAATCTCATTACTCACTAATTAATCCAGCTGTGTATTTCTGACATGATGTGCTAAAGTTCAATGGATTATAAGTAATAAAAGAATATTTATTTAAATTATTGATAATTAAGTTTTGAAAAACTCGATGAAAAATTTTATACATGATTATGATTATTTATTTGATAAATAAATAAATAAATAAATTATCAACATTTAGTTTTTTATAAAAATGACGTAATAAAATTATTAACTTATCAATTTATTGTATTATTGACTCATAAATTATTTTTATATAACAATTGTTTATTTAAATAATTAAAGTTTGACAGTTAGAGGTTAACTTCTGGATAATGTGGTGTTTTTTTATAAATTGCAAATATTTATCACCAATACTAATTAAAAATAATTAATTTTTACTTTTTTCGATTTAATACACTATTTTAGAATATTATTAATTAATTTTTCAATATTTAATTATTTAAAATATGAAGAAAAAATATTTTTCTGTCAGAGTCGAATGATGGCCAGTAGAATTTTGCAGGAAACAGTGAAAACTCCCAAAGAATTGTATAAATTTTTATTAAGGTCGTGTAATAAACTTCCAAAAGGTCCTCAAGAATTTTATAAACATTCAATTAAACAGGTGAGATAATAATTATTTAATAAAAATATTATTTTTAGTTATAATTTCACTTTGAAATGAATTTTGATGGGTATAACCTCAAATTCTGTTTATTTTTCACGTCAAATTTTAATAGATATAAATATAATAAAAATAATTTTAATTATGAGTGACAATAATGATATTGACAATGATTTATTTTTTTTTAGAGTTTTAAACAACATGTGTTCGAACCTGACCCTGAAAGAGTAAAACAAATAATAAATAAATCATTATCTGATGCAGAGTGGATTTTTAAAAAGGTACATATTGAATTTATTTTTATTATTAACCCCTGACAAGCACACATCTAAATCGTATACCTCTTTAGGCATTGAGGGTGAAAAGTACCCAACATATTTCATTTTCAAATATCTTGGTTTCTAATAAAGTTAGAGAATTTTTTTTTTTTTTCAAATCAAAGCTCAAAAAATTCTCTATAAATTAGATATAATATTAAATTAATTAGTGCCAATTAAAATAGATAAATATACAATTGAAGTTTAAATATGTACAAAAAATTATAACGAAATAAAATTTTGGGGTGGGTACTTTTTACCCAGTGTGCTTGTCAGGGGTTAATATTAAAGAATTTCATGATACTGAAATCAGCTGACAACTTTTTTTTTCTATTTTTATTCTAAATTAATTACAAAAAATATTTTTTTT